TTTTTTTTTTTTAATCTAAAAAACCCAGTAAATTGTATTTTTCTACTAATATAAATTTTTGTGTGCCATTGATTTTTCGTTTTACAATTAACTGTACATTAATCGTATGTCGTCAGACGATGAAAAAAGAGAAACAAGACATTTCCTTCCTTCTTCTTAATTCAAACTAACCCAATCCGATGTCTGTCCCAAGTGATCCTGGAGTGTGCATGCGCTGTTGTAGCGAGCACTAACCCCTTTTCCAGGTCCCGGGCCTCCTTTCCAACGCGGTTTTGCTTTTCTCTTGTTTCAGCGGGCACTTTGCTGTTTTCCAGGATTCTCTAATCCAGGCACTGCGTCGCGAAAAGGAAAAATACCCAAGCCATTATTGGCGGGTGTAGATAGCACAGGCACCTCGAGCACTGCCTCAAGTAAGAGTCGCCTATTGGACGACTCTGGTGGCGAAGTCTCGCCGGGTATCATGGAATTTGCGAGTGCAGCCTCGAGGCTGAAAGGCACTGTATCGAGGTTGTCGGATGGTAAGCCTGAAGACATGATGCTATTGGAGAAGCAGGGCAGAAGCTCGCAGAGACAGAGAATGCAAGAGGGTGAACCACGCCGTGCGGGTAGTCTTCCTCCCAGTTCGTTACCGCGACCGCCGAAGAATCTGAAGTCGACGAGCTCGCGTTATTGTAGACTGAGCGACACGGAGACTCGTAAGAAATCGGATCCAGGTCCGACTTTGGACACGTCGGCGAGCATGAAGGTACGCGATACGAGCAACTGCACCATCGAGTACGGCAGATTCGATACGAAGGCTCAGCGTCGAAAGAAATCATCCGGAACGGAACAGTTGGTCATTAATAACTCGCTGAAAAAGCCATCGTCCACAACAAGCCACGAGTACGAGCGTCTCCAAGGTGAAAATATTCGTAAGAAACAAGCCTCGGGTTCAGAAACGAAGCACAGGGAAATTCAGAGTCGCTCCCTGATACCTCCACCGTCTCGTCGCATCGGGGAGTACGGTCGCCTCAGTGATGGTACCTCGAGGAAGCAGACTGGTTCACGAGGACAAAGTACTGGAAGCACAGTAAGCAGCAAGAGCGGAGGACGCGATTCCGGCGGCACTGCTAGCAGCGAGGCGTCAACGTCATCGTTGCCTCCTTCCAAAGCGAGATCCATTCCTCGCCCGAGCAATTACCGCATTCAGTTTTAATTTATAACGTTCAATATCGAGCTAGTCTTCCCTGTTTAAAGATTATCCTTTAAAGAGATCGAGTTCTCTCGAGCGTGTAACGAGCAAGTCCGGGGTATAATTTTCCGTACTTTATCTTCCATTTACGAGAATCTTTCTTAGCAAACATTGGTATACATGCTTATTCCACTGTCTTTACTTTTGTATTGCTTTTTCGACGAACGATGGAAAAATTTCTTTCTGGTAGATATGTAAGAGAGGAGCACAGCAAGATCGAATGGTTAAGTGTTCGAGCGGAAGCGAACGATGAACAACAAATAAAATGGGAGGTAGATTAATGAATTAAGGAGAAAATCAAGAACGTTGACCGGTTTTGAGAGCGTCTCTGCTTCGCCTTTCAGCACTTCAGATCCTATCTAGAAGTCCTAATGTACGTATGCGCGAGCGATACGTCTACACAGCCATAATATTAAACGATATATTAGTTCCCTTTATTACCATTAATAACGGAGAAGTGAAGCCAATCGCCACGACATAGCGAGGAACCAACGATATATCGTTGCGTAGCGATAATGCATGACCTAGTCATTACCAAAGTAACTTCTGTAATGAGAACGGAATTGATTTCCTCTTGTTTCGTACGCACCTACGTCTAGCAATATTGCGGCTTTTTTTCATCAACAATTTATTCGTATAAGGGAAACGCGAAAAACAAGTGCCTTGTTAAAGACTGCGAAAACGAAAAAATACACGTTCGGGGTACAACTAGGGATAAGATTATACATTCAGGAATACTTTCAGAATTCTACAGGACCCGGGTCTTTAATAAAATTGATCGCTTGATCCTTAACTAGAACGCGTTATTTTTCAAACTTGTATTTTACAATTTTTAGCCAAGAGTTCGTCAAGAGTATCGCATTTCTGCTTCGTGCCTTATGAAAAAAGCATTTCCTTTTCCTCTTTTTCTTTTTTTTTTTTTTTTTGTTTTTACGTGTCTTTAAGATTGTTTCTTGTTGGAAACGCTATAAAGATACATCACGAGATATCCAATCGGTCTTGCTTTTCGATGGAAAAGCGAAACTGGGGTAAGGCAAATGAAAATCCGATTTGCCTGGATGCACAGTGAGGGGATTCGACTAGTACACACACACACACACACACACACACACACACACACACACACATATTATATATTTTAGATAATCATATTTTTGTGTGTACGTGTCTTGATTTAATAATTTTAAGTGTTCTTTCTTTTACACAGAGAGAAGTTACGTAAATCTTTGACGGTGATTCGCTCAATTTAAGATGTAACAACGGTGAATCGTATACAATATTTAGAAGTAATATATTTCGCGATGGAACAATTTTA